AGTAATTTTAACGAATGATTTAGGGTGTCTCGTGATATATTATTAATGTGCAAAAAAATAGAAAGTATTGTTATAATATTTTATAATAATAACTGGAAAAAGTAAACTTTTATCTGCAAGTACCTATTAAAATAAAAAAATAAATAATATTATATTGTCTAAAGTAAAATACAAAACAACATGTGCATATATTTAAGGATTACCCCAATTAATTTCAATTTATCTTATTAAAAAATTTTTCATAGATTACAATGTGCAATAACTTTGGGGTCAATAAAAACGGATGCGATCTGGATGTTAGTACTATTTTTATAGACCAAAACCCTAAATAGATTTTGAAAATTTAGCTCGAATTTAAAAGTTATGGCAGTTTAACGTTTAAGTCACAGATATGATTTTTTAATTTTTATGATTATTGTAACACAATAATAGCGATTTTAGCACTGTAGGTATTATCGATTCCGCTAAGCTTCGGTTTTAATCGAGCGATTCCGACGAACAACCAATCATTTTTTTCTTCTTGCAACAAGATACTTGACAACAATAATTTTGATATTGTTACATAGCGACGACACAATCATTTTGTCTTCAAAAACTAAAAATCCATTTTCAACACTATTTTTTGGCTATCGAAAATTTAATATTTTTTTTGGAATTTAAAATTTCAGGAATTTTGATTTTTTTTTAATTTTCAGACTTTTACTTATGTTCACAATGTTTATAATTGGTTTAAGCCATTTAACTACTAAAATTCAAAAAGAGAAATACCTTTATTTAATATTTAATTTTAGTATTTAACAACTTAAATTAAAGTTTTAATTTAAAATATGAGTATAATAGTCGTATAACTGGCCCCAAAAGGAGGTAGGGACGGGAGGACAGACGTTTTGGTGTTTAGGGGACAATTACGCCGACTCAAATCTGTGTACGACGCGGGATCCCCCTAGACCGGGAAATTAGTATTAGTGTTGCCGCGAGACGAGACGAGACGAGAAAAGTCCTTCTCTCGTCTCGTCTCGTGCAGCGAGAGAAAATGGGTCTCTCGTCTCGTCGAGAATACTCTTTTCTCGCTCGAGAGTGCCTTTCTCTCGTTTCGTCTCGTTTCTCTCGTGGTAAAAGTACCTAAGTATGAATACAAAAATTATTTGGAATGAAATCCGAATTCGTTTATATTTTTTCATATAGAAATTTAAACTGGAAATAAAAAAAAATGTGTGCAAAGACCACACTAATAAAGTAAGACTTTTTACGCCGAAAATGTCGCGCATTTGAATCAAATGGTTGGATCTATGTAGAGTAGTTTCATCTAGTATTATACTATAATAGGTGTTTTTTTTAACGTGAGACAGCTCAATATCTCGTGAAATACGCATTTCACAGAAAAAAGGGGACATTATTTGGTGCTACCGCTAGCCACCCCCTACCCCTCCTTAAGGTGAAACGGGGGGTAACTTTAGAAAGTCAAATGCAATGACCCGATTTTTTTCACAGATTTTGGTAGTACATAAAAAAATGAATAACTTTAATTGAAACTTTTTTTCAATTTATCAACAGATGGCGCTGTAATTCAAAATTTAAGAAAATTGGGTTTACTTGTAGCCAAACCTCACCCAATCTCACGTGGGGGGAGGGTGGTACCCGTTCGCCAAGGGTACCACACCAAACGTTTACCGACCAGGGACGCTGGTGCTCCACTTGGTGTCGAAATGGAAGGACGACATTTCGAACATTTGTTATAAATTGTTTTCAGAGCCGACTATTGTTGATTTAATGTTAATTTTTGTTTTTCAAACGTTTCAAATAATACATTTTTCCTAAATTTACTTCTGCGCATATAATATATCATACATCATATTATGATGTAACTACTCCACATAGATCCAACCATCTTGTACCTAGTGCGCATGTCCGTCATTTTGAATCCGCAATTTTGTTTTTTTTAATGGATATCAAATTCTGAATCAGGGACCCCATAAATATCTGAATACTAAATTTTACCCAAACCATGGTTAATGCATTAAAGCCGAACGACGAATTTTCGTCATATTGGATTGGGGTCATTCCACGTTACTCGGGGATTTTTGTCCCGCCCGTCACAATTAAAAATTGTGAGTAAAAACTACACGTTATAAAATTTATTTAAAAATATTGTTTTATTATGTTTTTAATAAGTTATAAGCACAATAAAAATAATATTATAAAATATTAATTTTATACAGGGTGTCCGGGAAAAGGAAGTCAATCCGTTAACCATATATTCTTTGAGTTAAAACAATAAGACTTTCATAATACCATTTTTCAATTTAGAGCTTCATGTTCGATATACAGGGCGACAAAGTTTGAAATTTAAAACTGATTTTTTTTAATAATTCAAGTAATTGATAAGATATTAAGTTCAAATTCGGTACACTACTTCAACATAAATAGTGACATTTTTTGAGACCAACGAAACAAAAAACAATTGTCAAATAATCAAAATAGGGGGGTCCAGTACTCACTGACTCCCCCTATTTTTAGTACGTGGGCCAATGACTTCCAAACGGTATTTTTTCAGGTAATCATTTATTGTTAAAAAAAAATTGTCTCTTATAAAATTTTGATAAAATGATTTGTTTTAGAGATAATTTGTAAAGTATGGGTCAGTCCATATCAAATCAACCAAAGGTTCTTCCCCCACCATCTCCGATTTTAATATTTTTTGGTAAATTTGTTTACCTCACTAAAAAACTCAAAAATCCCATATATGAATTTTTTTCGATGGGTGGTTTTTGTTTTATTGGTTTTTGAAAATCAAAAAATTCCGATAAATTTGGGTACTTACAAAAATAGCGATATCTCGTAAACTATTAAAAGTAGAAAGGTGAGTGATGGCTTATTTTAAAGGCCTATTAGAGACCTTTTTTATGATATATCACATGACCTAAATTTTTCAAAAAAAAAAAATTAAATTTCAAAAATTTGATATGGATTGACCCATACTTTACAAATTATCTCTAAAACAAATCATTTTATCAAAATTTTATAAGAGACAAAAAATTTTCAACAATAAATGATTACCTGAAAAAATACCGTTTGGAAGTCATTGGCGCACGTACTAAAAAATAGGGGGAGTCAGTGAGTACTGGACCCCCTATTTTGAGTATTTAACAATTGTTTTTTGTTTTGTTGGTCTCAAAAAATGTAACTATTTATGTTGAAGTAGTGTACCGAATTTAAACTTAATATCTTATCAATTACTTGAATTATTAAAAAAAATCAGTTTTAAATTTCAAACTTTGTCGCCCTGTATATCGAACATGAAGCTCTAAATTGAAAAATGGTATTATGAAAGTCTTATTGTTTTAACTCAAAGAATATATGGTTAACGGATTGACCTCCTTTTCCCGGACACCCTGTAACTTGTGGTTTTTACTCACAATTTTTAGTTGTGACGGGCGGGACAAAAATTACCGAGTAACGTGGAATGCCCCATTAGCCATTTTATTAAAAAAAATAGATATCAAATTTGTAATCAGGCCCTCAAAAACCACATGTAGTTGATAAGTATATTGAATAAGCAATGCTTATTAAGCATACCGGTTTTTTTTTAATAGTATAAGGAGTGCTATACATGTGCTTAAACAGGGTAAATTTTAAAAATTATTATCATTTAATAAGTAATTTTTTCCTGGTTAACGTTAAGTTGTGGTATAAAATAATACAACGTTAACCAGGAACAAATTTTGTTTATTATGAAATGCGAATAATGTTCTCATTGGTCCAAATAAATATCGTCATTTATGTGCAAAATTATAATTTTATGTAAAAAAAATTGTTTACTTATTACCGGGATAATCGAGAGAACGAGAGAGATCGAGAGAAACGAGAAATTCTCGAGCGAGAGAGGGCATTCTCTCGTCTCGTCTCGAGCCTTTTTTCGAGAGAAAATCGCCCTCTCGTCTCGTCGAGACGAGAAGAGACGAGAAGCGAGAATCTCTCGTATCGGCGGCATCACTAATTAGTATTACTCCAAACATTTGGGATTACTATTTAAAGATGGGGAGTTGTTAATTAGCTGTAAGGACCTATCTTCCTTGTCGTCATCCTCGCCCGTCTTTGTCAGTTATATTTTCTTAACGAATGTTTAGTTCGGTTATTGCGTTTTTGACGTAGGGTCTATAAGTTCCTAGAATAATTAATGTTTATTTATGTCTTGTTTAGTTTTCACACGTTTATTGGAACCGGTTTCTTAAGTTTATGGAATTTATGACTCACTTGGTTATTGATTTATTTTTCTTGCTCAGCTATAATCCCGCCAGCGATAAGAATTGGGACGGCTTGGTTTTATTGTTTTTTGTATTAGTTTATACTTTTGTCTTATTATTAGGGTTCGTATTTTTATGCTCTTAAAAAGTCAAAAATATGCTATACCCTGCTATTCCCTTAAAAACACCGAAATATGCGCTTAAATTTAAAAAAATATGCGGTTATAATAATTATAATAGAATAATTATAATAATAGGATAGAATTTATTGATGTAAAAATATATACATATCTAGCATGTCAGTCAATAAAAAGAGTATGATATATTATTTTAAATAATAATTTATTCATAATATATTAGCATTACAATGTATAACAAGTTGCATTCTTATATTTTCAAAATTAAAACGCTTGTCAGCGAAAATATTCTTATAAATTGAAAAGCTTCGCTCGACGTCGCAAGATGTCACAGGAGCATACTTAAACGCAACTATATCCTTAATATTGAAGTCTTCTAATTCCATGGGTCCTTCACCATTTATTTATTTTAACTAATTTCTCATACCCTAAAACATTTTTAAAACTTCTTTTACTGCTTTGCCAGGTGCCTTCTCGATATTCTGATATACAGTTTTAATAATATTTAAAGAAACTGACAGCGGCTGCTCTTTTGTTTCTAATGTTTCAATTATCTAAATTAAAAACTGAAAATGGCACTGAAAAAGTCATCTTTCACTCCTCTTGTAGGCATTGCTTTCTAAGCATCGACTATTGATGCTGCATCGTCCTCATCTAGACTTTCGAGTATTTCCCGGATCTTTTCAAAATTGTTTGCATAATAGCAGGCAGCATTTAGCCAAGTTCCCCATCTAGTGAGAATTGGTTGTGGAGGCAATTGCAAATCAGGTTCCATCTCTTTAAAATGAGCGACGCGACTAGGTGCTTTCACAAAAACTTTTTTCTCGTTTGAAATGATGGTATTTACTGTAGGATATAAACTTCTTATTGTTTCTGCTACGCGATGTATACACCATGCACTAAGCATGTTAAGTGTATCATCTTGCTGTACATTAATTTTAACCCTGCGCCGGCCTTAATCATGTAAGGTGCAGCGTCTGAGACTAACAGTAGCACTTTTTCATAGTTAATACCAGTCGGCCACAAAAAAATCATGGCGTCATTAAATGTTTTAGCAATTGAGGCACTATTAGTTTTTTGCAAGCAATGTGTATACGCAGGAGATGGTTTATCCATTAACGAACCAACAATTACATTAGCCACATATCGACCTGCAGAATCAGTGGTCTCGTCAATTGCAACCCATATATAGTTGTCACCAATTTCTCTTTGGATTTTTTTAACGGTTTCCAAATACACTTTTGGCAAATAATTTTTTCTTACTGTAGACTCATCTGGTATGGAAAGTTTTGTATACTTTTCCAAAGTTTCTTTCAGCTTAGGATGTTGCAACTTATTTAGTGGAATATTAGCAGCTACAAATGAACGGCATATATCTTCAAAAAATTCTGAATTTGATCCAATGTTTTTTCGGCAGCCGTGGTTGTTATCAAACATTGTTTTGGTCGTTTTAATGATGCACATTTCATGTGCTTTGCAGTTTCAATTTGTTGAATCACTTTAACTTTTATCGGCGTTAATACACATATATTACAAAATAATATAGACCCATCTGTTTTAAATACATCTCCATACTCTCGCACATAACCATTTAAACTTACACAAGTTGAGGTTTTTGGTCTCATTTTATAATAGTCGACTGCACTGACTGAATTATATTGAGACTCACACATAACCCATTTATATAATACAATAGGTATAAAAATTAATTACCTACCTGATTTTTTAGGATAAATTTAATAATCCGGTATTAGAAACATTATTTATTCATTAATGAATCATTATTATTAATAAAGACGGAAAGGCTTATAACAGGATTATATGGATTTATATGTATAAAATATGTGTTTATGGGTGAAAATACTCCAAATATTCCAAAATATGCATTTAATAAGGAAAAACACGTAAATATGCATTTATATTCGAAAATATTTAATAACCCTACTTATTATTAATGTTTTACATTGTTTTTTGTCTACTAGGGTTGTGTTTAAGAGGAAAAAAACGCTCTGTTAGTTAAGAGCCCTTATCGATTTTTGCAGCCCTTTCTACTCTTGATTAGCGTCGTTTGTTTTTCACATAAAATGCTTCCTTTTGTCAGGTGTTTCGTCCATCAGGTATGCTGTTACTAATCACTTCTCACTTTATTTCTTCCGTGACCGTAAGGTAGCCCTTAATTCCCTGTAGATACATTGCATTGTAGTTTATTGTGCATTGCAAAATTTTTATTCTGAGCGAGGTCTCGGTTAACAAAAAAACGCTCTGTTAGTTAAGAGCCCTTATCGATTTTTGCAGATAATGGCCCTTTCTACTCTTGATTAGCCTCGTTTGTTTTTCACATAAAATGCTTCCTTTTGTCAGGTGTTTCGTCCATCAGGTATGCTGTTACTAATCACTTCTCACTTTATTTCTTCCGTGACCGTAAGGTAGCCCTTAATTTCCTGTAGATACATTGCATTGTAGTTTATTGTGCATTGCAAAATTTTTATTCTGAGCGAGATCTCGGTTAACATAAGTCTTAAGTTCATCCCATCTACTTTGATATCGTTTAAAAAATTGGGATGTTTAATGAATTTGAAATTAAACTTTCTTTATTCACACCTTCACCATTCACCCCGCAAATGTTGGAGACTACAGTCACAGTATATATACTGTGCTACAGTGAAGAAGGAGAACGGTTCCATCAATATATCAAAGTAATGGAACAACCAAATCAGGGTAAACGGGATGTCATGATGGGAAGTCATGATGGCCGATTTTTGCTGGATGATGGAAAGAAAAACAAAAGTACGAGGCGAAAAAATAAGGCGTAACCCCTAAAACAGATCTTTCCAAGAAAAAAGAACACGGTATAGTGCAAAAGAATAAGTCTGGAAAATATTAGTAATTTTGACATAATGTCGATGTAGATTCCAAAACAACTTAAGATAAATCGAAAACTGGTGAGATTATAAAGGTCTCTAAATCATCATTATTACAGAATATTTTACGTTCCTATTGATTTCTGTCTAATTTTTTTATTCTGGCCCGAAATTGGTCAAAATGTTGATTTCAACGCGAAACGCTCATTTGATTTTATTTATTTTTTAATTGTAGGTTACGATGCTATGGTAAAAAAATGTATTCAGATTTTAATTTGAGCATACATATGCATATCAATTAAATTCAGACATTAAACATTAAAATCTGAATAAAAATGTATATAACAGCATCGTTACTGAAGAGTCATCCAGCATTTAAAAAAAAATCATGAAAATCAGACAAGAGATTTGCGAGGAAATCATACGAACACTATCCGTGGAGTTAATACAACGATTGAGAGTTGGCCATTTCCATGAGGAAAAAATGTTGCAACACGAGCCGAAGAGTTAAACACTATTCTTTTTCTAATTGTAATAAAGAATTTAGTACAATTTTGTGTAATTATCATAACCACAGATTCGATGAAAAATTCCAGTGTCAATTAATTTTTATATAGAGATAATAAGGTACACAAAAAACCAAAATGTTCAGAAAAGATAGGACTGTATGATTTTACTTCATATATGCAGTTATTAAAGTCGGATGAGCGGTTCGCAATGAAATCAACATTTAAACTGTTGCCAATTGGTTGCAGGTTTTTTGGCGGTTAGTGTATTTGTATACCTACTTAATTTATTAAAAAATAAATGATTTATTAAACAATAAATTAACACCCTAAAACCGAGCAAGCTAATAATCTTCGGCGCCGTCAGTTGTTGACTTTTAGAGTCAGAAGTTAGGACAAAATGCTGCCAGTGGAATAATAGATAGAATATTAGATCGAATAATTATAATAATATATAGAATAATACATCGAACAATAGATCAAACGCTAGTGACTAAGGACCTCTCCTAAAATTTTAAATAAAGGACTCGTCCGACAATTTCGATGTGTACGCTCTATGAAGTACAATTGGCGTCTTCGAAATGTGAACGATTTTTGGTTGTCATGGATTTTTTTCGTTTAATTCGTTTATTCCTGGCTTTGGCCAGTGGTGTTACAAATAGAGGGGATAATACTAAGAATAAGAATAATTTTTAATAATATTTTAACAAACAGTAATATATACAATATTACAAATAAATTAACTTTAATTTGGTTTTGTACAACACAGGGCCGATCCAACCCAGGGTGCAAAGGGTGCACTGCGCCCGGGCGGCAACTATCGAGGGGCGGCATTTTAGAAAATATTTGTACAGAAAGTGACGGTAAACTTTTTAATATTGTAATTGATTCTGATCCAAGTGCAAGGTCTACACCTTTATCTGACAAAATAAGGTTAATGATAGTAGAAAAGGGTAACCTACTAATAGTGAATCCGTTCAACGCACTTGGATATTCTAAAAAATATACTCTGTGTTTTGTTTCCCATGTAAGTTATTTGGGAATGCATCTAGTTCTTTGGGGCTAGATGGATTTCGAGATTGGCAACATTTATCGCGAACCTTAAGCCGACATAAACTTCATTAAAGTGTGGCTAGATTATTTACAGAAAAAACTAATTAACAGTTAACAGAAAAGACGGTGTTCTGTTTCATAAAGAATTATATCTGCAACAACATGTTGTTAAATTTTTAGCTAAGTAAAACCTAGCTTTTAGAAGTAGTTCTAGTAAATTATTTTGTAAAGTTACACGTTACACTTCTAACTCGCAGCAGAGCAGCAACAGCAGCCCAGCTGATAAGACCTGAAGATGGTACATGAGATTGTACCGAAACGTCGTCAGACATACGGTTCTTTTAAGAACCAAAATCCGACAACACGGAGCAGATCCCGAAAAACCACTAATACATAAATAATAATTATTATTTATGTATTTATGTTGTAAATTATTGGGAAGAGCTTAAGACATTTAAATCTGCAGCTATTTCACTTAAAGACCAATTTCCTTGAGCAATATGTTAAATTTGCTGTTATTTTTATTTGTTAATTACCTACTTGTTAATATTGTTGTACCAGGGCCGCACCAAGTGTTTTTGCCGCCGGGTGCAATTAAAAGCTTGCCGCCCCTTAAAGGAAAAAAATCTTAAAAACACTTTTTAACTTAATAAAATTATAATTATAATGCATATAATTGCAGAGCCATTAGCTGCCACAACACTTTGCAATCTTCTTGGCATGGACATTATTAGGTAACGCATGTAGTATGACTAAGCAAGCTCTTCCCAAGAATTTTCAACAGCATTCCGTAGATCATTTCGGTTTGCTGGCTTAAAAAACTGTGCTGCTGCTCATAAGCTATTTTAATACTTAATTGCAGAGCCATTAGCTGCCACAACACTTTGCAATCTTCTTGGCATGGACATTATTAGGTAACGCATGTCGCATGACTCAGAAAGCTCTTCCCAAGAATTTTCAATTGCATTCCGTAGATCATTTCGGTTTGCTGGCCCAAAGTCCCGTTGATATAATTTTTTAACTATAAAACCCCACACGTTTTCAATGGGGTTTAAGTCAGGACTTCTAGCTGGCCATGGCAAAACAGTTATGTGGTTGTTGTTTACCCACTCTGTAACCACGCGAGCTGTGTGAACTGGTGCATTGTCCTGTAATATAATATATATTAGAATCATTTTTGTATACTTTGCAGTTTCCTAACATGTTGGAATATACCATTTTCTGGAAACACATGTCTAACTGAAGGTAGCATAACGTTGTCCAAAATCGTCGTATCGCCGTTAATCTACCATCAATTTCCCAACATATTTCCGCACCATGGACTTATCAACTCCCAAACATTTATGGAAAAGCGTCCACTATTTGTGGTTCTTAATGTGTAGTTATTCTCAAATCTTGCGTCTCTTGGACGATATACACACCACCTTCCATTATTGCAAGATTGGAAAGTTTTTTCATCAGAAATTTTAACATTATTCCAAAATCCCTCTCCATAATTTAGATGGACTCTCCTGGGCTTATTTTCGTCAGTTAAAAAAACCTCATGAGCAGCATCACAGTTTTTTAAGCCAGCTGTTAAAGAGATCCTGGAAATTGTGTAACTTCTCGGACCTTAACTGCGCTATTAAAAGGATTTTGCCTAATATGTGCGACAAGAGCATTGACTTCATTTTCTTTGGAGATTTTACATACACCTTGCCTGATAATCATCATGCCAACGTTTCTTGTTATAAAATATGCAGCTTTTACTGATATTTCTGCAGCCACTTCACTTAAAGACCAATTTTATTTTAATTTGGCTATTGTCCTGGACCTCTGAGCCTCAGTTAAGTGGGGTGGAATTTTTGATTTTGCAATTGACAACTATTATCAAATTTGACAACTACCGACGACACTGATGCAAAGCCCATATTACACGATTAAATTTTGTCGTTCACATTTCGGGGACGCCAATTGTACATGTTTTTCTTTAATCGTGTTCAATCTATGTTTATTAGGGTGTCCGTTATTTACCAACTTGGTTTTTTTGTTCGCAGCGCACCCT